ATGTCTATATTATATATAATGAAACACACACACACACACACACACACATATATATATATATATATATATATATATATATATAGATATATATATATATATATATATATATATATATATATATATATATATATATATATATATATATATATATATAACTGTTCCATACAAGTTTCTAATGCCTATGTATGTATGTCCAAGACAGAGAAAATAAATCTATGGGATTGCACCTTCTGTCACTCTGCGCACTTTCAAGCTTTTAACTACTCGCCAGGCAAGAAATCCACCAAAAATGCCAATGTTGTTTACTTATCTTTATATAGCTCTCCTCCTATTCCTTTGTTCTCTCGAATCTTCCGTTTGACGCTAAGAGGTTCAAAATTTCTATAAAAGCCAAATGATCTTTGCTGCTTATTGCACTCTTCTTATAGCAAGGATCTTCATATGCTACAAAGTAAATATTTTTAGGACTTTACTAATATATATATATATATATATATATATATATATATATATATATATATATATATATACGGAGGAGGTGCTGAAAAGTTCTCAACTTGAATAAGAAGCGATTTTAAAAATCTGATGTTTGTTCAGTTAGACTTTTGAAGTTAATCAAACCGAGAACTTTTCAGCACCCTCTTTTTATTGTGTAATGAATATGCATTTGCATGAGTGCATCTTGTTTTTTCTTGCGTTGCCCCTCAGTGTCTAGCCATAAATACTTAAGTTCCTTTGTATCTGCGCTTGTCATAAACGCCATTCAAGGCCATTTGTCTGATATTTTCATCCTTTTGAGTGAGTTGTTCTTGTATCATCCAGACGATTGTCATTTCGAATTCTCTTTCTCCATCCACAAAGAACAAGAAACATGTTTACTCGTAGACCAGCGCTCACTTTCCTCCCCACTGACACACACACACACACACACACACACACACACACACACACACACACACACACATATGTATATATAGTACTTATAGATTCGAAATACACATCGAAATGATGGCTACGTTGGTCAATAAAAGGTTTTAGGGATGACAAAATAAAGTGAGATAAAGTAAGGTAAAATAAGTAGTGAAAAATCCTCTTTATTCAGAGATGTTTGTGAAAATTATTACCTCCCTCTACACACATACACACCCATACACACGCATATGCACTTTCATTCTTTCTTTCTGTCTGTCTCTCTCTCTCTTTCACTCTATTACACGATGAAATACATAGAAAACTAGTTGCTTATTTGAAAAATATTTCTTTTTTTTTATCTTTTCTGCTGAGAATTTTATATGAAATATATTGGGCTTTTAAATTTTCAAGTAATTTTCTTAACTATGTCAAGTTGCTCGATGAACATCCTGAAATGTATCCTCGCCTTCCATTTTTAATTTATACAGAGAGATGATCAATAACATTGTGCTAAATCCGTTCTGATATTCCATCGTAATTATCATATTTTTGGAAAATAATTTGATTTTAGGTAAAACATGATCAGGTTTACTTAATGTAATTCAGCTTTTGACTTTAGACAATCTGTTAGAGTTTTTTTCTGTTTCATTCTTAATATTTGTTAACGTAAATGCAATGTGATTCATATTCAAAATACAGACAACTCCCAAGATCTGATTGAAGATAAAATGGAAAGAAACATAACCGTGATTAATGGATCTGAAAACAAGTGCTTTCTCTTTATATCGACAAACAGGTATTAAAGAATAACATTTCGTTTTGTTATATTTCGTGAAATGTTAATAATAATAATAATAATAATAATAATAATAATAATAATACCGACATTTTCTGAAACTGAAAGCTAATTTCGCCGTTTCGAGCTTTTTAGATATTTTTTTTTATTTCATTGTTTTTAATTTGTACTTAGTTATTCTTTTAGACCTCATTGTTGAAACAGTTCATCTCTGAATTATATTTTTTTATCTTCTTTTGTTTTCTATTCAGTAAAATCCTTTACCGGGTCATTATGCATTCTGTTTTCAAAAATTCTGATGTTAATTGATACTTAACGGTACAGTGTTTATATTTTCTTTACATTGATTAGTTGAACATTTTCATAAAATACATTTTTGAATTTCTTGTAAATAGTGGCTGCCAAGAATCTTGTTGTTTTTGTCTGTACCTATCTACCAGGGTTACAGTTATTATATACACAACAGTAGTTTTAAACTGCCGTATTTTTTCATGTTGAATTTCAAGATCCTCATATTCAGTCATTTTGTCATAATCTTAAACATATTTTTATTTGATGGCCCTGTCATATCTACGAGAAGATTTTTGGTAGTCTCATTACCATGTCTGGTTTATTAGCATTTATATGCCAGGAGTTAAGAATGGTAAAATCACAGAAAATAGTGACGTAATGGCGTTCTTTGACATTTTCTGAATGATGTTCAGACCATTTTAGCATGTGGCGCACTGGTATTTATTTTTCTCCACACCTATTATATCGATCTTTGTATTCCTTTGCCGTCAAAATGAAACAGCCAAATTCCTGATAAATGGGCTTTGGTCATGTGTAGTAATGACAAATGTTCCTGTCTCTGCTTTTAGACCTGAAATCTTCAACCGCTGATGAATTTTGTGTTTATCTACATTCGCATTGTTACTTCTGAATTTATATTGGCTATGTAAGTATTTTGGATCCTATGTGTTCTTTTAATTGTTTAAATCTTGTGATTTAGCACTCATTTTAATAAAAATGGTGTTTCGGATGGTCCATGTTATAGTAAGTCAGTAATATTTTCTTGATATGAGATCTATTTTCTTTATTTCAACTCTAATCCAGTTGATAATGTTGAAACAACTGGTGTTGATATCGAATTTATAACAGTAACCCGAGTTTGAGCATTGACATCCATTAACACAAGCTCCTTTAGATATTTTAGTCATTGTTTCTGTCTGCCTTCTTGCCATCAATATGTTTCGTGCGTGTATCAATTTCTCTCTAAGACCTTCATCATTGTGTTCCAGGAATGTCAACTCTCTCTCTCTTTCTGATTCTAGGAATAAATGTCATTGTTGCCATTTTTTTGAAAACTTCCTCGTTGTTCATATGTTCCGACCATGGTATTCTCAGCAACCTCATGTAGAACCACATCTCTGTTGCCTCAAGTCTCCTCAACATCTATGAGGAATTTGTTCAGAATTCCATACGGGATGCTTGATATTACATAGCAGTTCAGCACACTTATCATTTTTTCTAACAAACTTTTCCGGTGTTTTAATACTTAGTTTAGGTTTTAGAAGGTATCTTTCACTATGCCAATGTACATTCGGATTTCTCTGGCATATTTTCCGTTATCTGATATAACATTTTCTAAAGTGTTAATTTTCCGTATTTGCTTGATGTAGTTTGCTATTTTGGTCCTTATCTCTCATTGAAGGCCATACATATTGACTTTTTACAATTGATGTTTAGTCCTCTATTCTTGCATCCCTTTACTACATTTTTCAGGAGTTACTGGAGTTTTCTTTCTCTCTCTGTCATCAACACGATATCATTTGCTTATCTTATATTGTTAAGGGTGAGTCTACCAATAATAAACCCTGGAAGGCCTTCTATTTCTTTTTGGATTGACCGCAGTATAAATCCGGTGACAATATGTATCCCTATTAGCTTTTATATGTTTGTCAGTATGAAAGGTAAAGCCTCAAAGACTAGTGACTTCATAGCCTTCTACAACGCATTCAGAGTGACGCCCATACCATTTTCATCATGTGGTGCACTGTACTTTTGGTACATTTGTCAGTCTTCTCACTATGTTGTTCGCATAATTTGCATATTGGGTGGTTTGCGCCGTTTTTATTATATGTACTTGGTAATTCCTGCTGAATAGATTTGGTCTTGTACAGCCATTATAAATGCCACTCTATCAGTTTCCAGCCTTGATAGAGTTCAAAATAGTTTACGCGCTCTAGCATGGAATGACTGAGTTTTTTATTCTACAGTCTTTTGTTGCTCGAGTAGATTTATCTATAGTCTTCAAAGTGAAGTCGAATCCATGTAAGAATTTATTGTTTTGTTTTAAATGGAGTATTTTTATTTATTTATTTGCATATCATTACCTCTGGCAATATAAAGTCAGTAGCAAGTCATTAGTCTTCTTAACTTGGAAGCAATGTCTTTATTTCTACGGAGGTCAAGTTGATAATATTGAAATGATACTACAACTGGTATTGCTAGTGAAGCTATAACCATAATACAATTGTTAACATTAAATTAAGTGCATTTTATTCTTATGATTATTGTTGTTATTATTATTATTATTATTATTTCATTGGTTTTCTCACCATGTAATTTCCTTTTTTTCACTTGTGTTAAAAGTAAAAACCAGATAATTTCTGAACGAGAATATTTATGAATTTTTCAGTGGCGAGATAAATAGAAATATCAAACTACAAGCTAATACTAATATTCATTCGCATTGAATATGTTTATTCAATGGAAGAGAGTATCATTATTTCTCAATAAAAATAAGGAAGAAATAAAATTAAAAATTGTAGCATCATCAAACAGGTACTGGAAATTTAATGAAGAAAAGAAGGAAATCGATAAAATAATACTAATAATAATGTCTGATTATAAGCAGATACTATCATCTGTGTGGATTATGGACTGGAAAAATGTAAATAGAGAACCGGAGAAAGTTTATTAATAAATTACTACAGTACAATAGATGCCAACATCACCGAAGTGAATCATTGAATGTACGGCGCAGTAAAAGTAATTATTGATACGTTTGTGTTTACAAAAAGAAAAAGAAAGAAAGAAAGAAAGGAAGGAATATAACACTTGAACAAGAAATAAGATGAACACCTTAAGAAACGTACTTATGAAAAATAAGCTCATAAAATGGAAAGACTCAACTCCGTGATGAATCAACGAAAGATCTAACATTACGAAAAGAACCCGCATCTGTGATAGAAGAAATCAGCAACACAGACGAAATAAAAAAATCTATTACAATGAAAGCAAATTCTACAGTAGACGGGGAAACATAGGGGCAAAGAGACCAACCGAATTCGACTGAATGAAAAGATTTTTAGAAAAGATAATGGCAATGAAGGAAAGAGCAGTAGAAAAGAGGGATCGGTTGACCGATTCTAAAAAAAAGAAGGGCATGGGATATAATAAAAGGACATTTAAATAAATAAAAACATGTATACAGTAAGCAAAATTGTAAAATGAAAAGCTTCAGGCCATGACAGGATCAAGAGATTCACACTCATACATGGAAGATTAGCCCTACAATTACACTTGCTTATAGAAGCAAAACTCTTCGAGTGAATGACAAAAATGAAACCTGAGAGTAATTACAGGTTTTTACTGATCTGCCTGTTATATGGAAAACTTTACTGCACAACTTGCAGAAGAAATAAATTTACTCAAGTGAAAACCAAGGATGCCTAATATTGGAAACTAAGTTCAACAACGGAAACAAAGGAATAAATATTTGGGAAATATGCAGAGAGACACAAGATGACTTTTGTATCCATAATTTTGGGAACTATGAAAACCATCCAGATGACACCATTACTAAAAATAGCGAGAATACTGAGGATAATTATTGAGGAGTCTTGTTGCCACTTAATCTCCAATGAAATCCACCAGTTGGCAGGTAATAAGTGCAAACAATATTGATGGTGAGAATGTAGATGAAAGTGCCAAAAATGATAATCTAACAATCTGTGGTAACAAAGGCAGTCAATAGAATTCGATAAAGAGATAAATACATATATCTACAAATATTTATTTAAAACTTTGCTTTTACTAGTTTATGAACACATGCGTTTATACACAAACACACACACACACACACACACACACACACACACACACACACACATATATATATATTGAAGCATGTTTCATTAAATAATAAGTTGTGTCTATTTATTTTATGCAAATTATTTTCATATTGTCTGATAAGCTTAATAACATCATATTGATACATCACCATATTGATACATATTTTTTAATCCTATCTAAGATTTTGGCTTACATAAGCCATGATCAAAAATGGCAATTACATTACAATACACGGGCAAAACAATAATGATAGCCTGTTTTTGTTTGCAAGAAAGATTTCCAAGCAACGAAAAACTCGTGCATACGAGATACTGGAAGCAAAAATTGCACCGCAACTCATGACATCACACATGACCACGCGAGAGTGAAAACGAGAAGTATTAAGTATGGGAAGCCGTTGGTATAAACCATGGGCTTCTGTTATCAATTATAGGCATTTAAGAATATTTGTGAAGATTTCGTAGTTTATTTTGTTCAGGTTAGGTTTCAACTGTTTTATGTATATAGCTTCAAGAATTTTTAGTTTTTGTTTATTGTTTTCATGTTTAAGTATAGTTGTGTTTTCAACGAGGATTTTCCGGAATTGTGTATGCTTCCAGGCATGTTGTTTTAAATGCCTAAAAATGCTAGAGTTATAATTCAAATGAAGAGTTAAGCGTCGTGAAAGCGAGTTTGTGGTGTGACCAACATAAATATTATTTAATCCGTTGAAGATACAATCTCCCAAAGGGCACTTGAATTTGTAAACTATGTTGGTTTTTGCAAATCGCCAACGGGGGTGGGGAGAAGAATCATTGCAAATAATTGAGTTTGATATACTAGATTTAGTGTAGTATACGATTAACTTAATTTTTTTGCTAGGATCTGTTGTATATATATATATATATATATATATATATATTTGTGTGTGTGTGTGTATGTGTGTGTCTCGGTATAAGTGTCTGAAGAAACCTGAAAATATAGAGATGGGAAGGACAGAGTATATGCAGAAGTGCGAATCTCCCAAATAAAATGTCCGTTCCAATCAATGAGTTTCGGTTATGCTTGCTAGAAATCTTATCTACAATAAGCGTGAAAGGGTACAAGAGAAATGTTTTAATGTCGACATTGAAAAATGATTTTCATTTGACCTGGAAGTAGCAATCAGCGCTTTCCTTTCGATCATTTCAGGTTTCATTCAAACTATCAAGAAACCCATCAAAAATGAAATATGTTCAGAATCCATTATTTTCTTCGGAGAAATGTTCAGGAATTGCATTTCTTCTACAAAACCTTCTTGTCAGTCGGCATTTCATAAAAAAATTGGAAATACAGCAGATGTTTGCTTAATATGTCGTCAGTAAATAAAGGTCTCAATTCACTCTACGAGAGCTACAGATACCACGTAACATATGTCGCAGGGTCGGGTCATCGTTGACTAAGCAGAATCTTCAAGTTGGAGAACATTGACTGTGGTATGACCTGGTGAGAGATGTGCTCTGTCAGGTTTACTTATTACTTACGCTACACGTGAATGAATATCTTTCCGGCTTTCAACTCAGATACGTGGTGGCAACTGGTCAGGTGCTTAGCTGCACAGAGACCCTACAACCACATCCAATTATAGGACAAATGATGATGATGATGATGATGATGATGATGATGATGATCAGACCAATTCTAACATTCTGGAACATTTCAAGTTTTTTCCCTGACACTATATGACAATTTCTACACGCATGGCATATATATTGTCCTGTGTATGGTAAAATAAATTGTTTTTTTTACACTGATGATCACCCTGTATAAGGCCCAAGAGCCACTCGAAGTAACGTGTTACAGAGTAAGATGCACAGTTTATGGGGATACGTGTGGAAGATAACGGTTGATACTAGACTTGAACAGATTAAGATTGTAATGATCTCGGGTGTCGGTTTCACAAAGAAGTGGTACTGTAGAAGATGCTGTTCGAATGGAACATACATCTCATCACTGAAATACGAAGGGAATGAGGTTGGTTCGCTGCAATGTGCGTCACATGGCGGGTTTTAGACGTGAAGGTTAGAACTGGTAAAGCTAAGGAACGTGGCTTGTGTGAACACTTTTCATGGAAATAACGATAGAGCTGCGAAAGGCTTGCGATGTTTTGTGTATGCTAAAGTGGTTGTAGGATGGAAAATAATTCGTTAGCCACAAGGACGCAGAGACGTTTTTGGACTCTATCGAGGCTGGAAAGTGGCAGCAGGACTCCATTTCAGCCTGATCTGGCTCTTGCAAAGATAGAGGATAGCAGGAGGAATCAAATTCTTTCTGTAGCAGTGCACTGACCATTTCCTCAGCATCTTTAACGATGGATCGTATGTACAAATTCCAATTGAGGTCTGGGTTGAGTTTAAGACTCGATAAACGCCTAGGGCCACTCTCATCGAACATCTGTTCATCGCGATCGGTGAAAGTTTTAGTTCTGCTCGGTGATGATGGAACGTCACTAGTTTGTTTTTTGAGGTATTGAATGTGTGACCAGCCAGTTTCCCACCACTGAGTCGTTAGGGATAGATCAGAGGAGAGATCAGTTACTAATCTTTTGTCACCTAGGGATTCGGGGGTGCACCGTATCATCATATAGATATTCACAAATGATCCGTGTAGACTGGACGTTAACAACTTCCTTCATCCGTTAAGGAAGGAATTTATAATTGAGAAGACTTTTCCAGACTTTCCATAGGTGGAGAGCTTGTTTAGTAACCATATATGCCACACATTATTAAAGGCCTTTGAAATAGCTAATGCGATCGCACGTGAGATGTTTGGTGCTTCACTGATTCTGTGAGCAATGGCAGTTAGCTTATCAGCAGTGGGCCGAGCTGATCAAAATCCGTACTCTATATCACTGAAGAGATTGTCTTTATTGAGGTGTTCAACAATTTTCTTGTTGATTATAATTTCAAAAGGTTTGCTAATGACACTTAGTAGATTGATGGATCTATACTATTTACGGTGATGGGCGCTCATCTGCATTCTTCAAAACCGGAGATACACTTGATACCTTCCACAGATTTGGGGCGGATTTCTCCTCAAACAGCGGTTAAATAATTTTGCTAAGATCAAGGATAACTCTGGGTTAATATTCTCAAGTACAACCACTGGGATTTTATCTGGATCAGTAGCCTCTTTAGCCTTCTTTTGATGAGCTTTTCCAGGCTGTAATAAAAATATTAGTGACTTTGTACTCAGTGAGACGGGACAAGTCGGGAAGTTTGTCATTTAACGTTGAGTTAGAGGCAAAGATCTTGTCGAAGAGCTTCACCTTATATGAGATGACTTTATGGCCATTATAATAGTAGACACTGACGCTTTGCCTCTATTCAGAAGTTGGCTGAAGGTCTTTCAGAAATCCAGGGATCTAATTTGTTTGCTTTCGATCTTGCCTTGAATTACTTCTAAATGTAGCAAGTGTCCTACTACATCGTTCATTATAATAGATATTATAGTAGCGGTTACAGTGAGCTATTCCGGGATGAACCAGGGCTGGATAATCGGTTTTTACAGGATTTTTTTTCTATGCTATAAAACGCTTAATTCCAGAGAGGATCCATTCCGTACTGAGGGTAGCACTTTTGTAGGCAGTCTGTTTAGAGAAGATTGAGAGAGGAGCTTAGACCATGCAAGATCTGAAGTTCTCCCAGGCGGCTTTCTTGTACGGAAAAATTGTTATATTGAACGGCACATCAGGGGATGTCTTTCGTTTGGCGTAAACTTTGACACTGACTAGTGAATGATCAGATATACCCAAGCAAAAGAGGGCGGGGACTTCAACGACGCATTCTCATGGAAGGGTGTGAGGAAGAGGTCAAGGATGTTCGTCTGATGTCCTGTTGAATAAGGAACACGGGTGGGTTTATTCGATGATTTATGTTAGTTCGTAGGCGACGGAGAATTCTCTGCAGTATCTGCCTTTTGCATCAGTTTTGTTCGATTCGACTAACCACTCTTTGTGGTGAATAGTGAAGTCACCAAAATTATGAAAGCGAGCTGAGGGATATTCAGTGAGGATAATATCGATTGGATTAGATATTCAGTCGAACATTACAGTTCCATCATACTGCGGACGATACAAAATGAAAATAAAAGTGTTACATTGGACAAGTGCTACGTGGAAAAACATACAGGAGATCAGGGTCTTCAGTTTTGCGTCTCTGTCACATGGAAACCCGTCATTAATATAGGTGTCGAGTTCACGAGTAGCTCGGGATTGTTAATTCCTGCACTGGGATGGAGGTCTCAGTACCAGTTTCAAACAGGAATAGAATGTCTAGTTTGGCTTCAAGAAGAGT